CAAAAGATAACCTCGGTCATTGCAACGAGCTCTTGCTGTGAAACTGCTGTTGGTCACAAGCCCCAGTCTGATTCAATGCATGCCGTTGGAACTGGGCTCAACTTGTCGCATTCAGAAGACGACAAAACGACGGTGTGATTATTTACCACCCTAACAGCACACGTACTAGGTACTTGTGTTGTCAGTTTGGTAAATAAGTAGGTAGTTTGCATTACCCGCTGCCTGTTGGCAGCTTGGAAATATTAGGTGGTTATCTCACAGTAGCTGATAGATTTCATCACAAATATATCCACTTGGGGACCAAAACTTTAAAAAAATTGTTCGTAAGGATTTACTTGCAATTTAGTGCATTAATTTCTTCGAAAAGTAAACAAGGCAACAAAACGACCGTTTGCTTGGATCTTTTAGGGGGCCTTTGCCCCATGACCCAGCAGCATACACGAACCGACTGATTTGGTACAGCAGGGGATTGGGCGTATTTTTAAAGTAGAGCCCTCTTTGTCCAAGCCGAGAGGGAATGAAGGAAGGGTGGAGTGTAAAATAGCGTCCCGCCAAGGAATTAAATTGTTCGCCTTTGCAGAAATTAGGGGCGAGGCAAACTGTAGCTTCAACATGCCGAAGTGCGCCTACTTGTCTTGAAATATGCCTTGAGGAGGTCATTCTCTTACCTTAGCAAGGAATATTTTGTACATCGAATGCTTTTTGGACAACACAAAATGGGTTGTAAATTAAACTCTAACGACCTGGTAATACGGCCAAGCAACATCACTCATTTCTGTCACACATTAATGAGCGGAAGAGCCTTTAGAGGGGGGAAATTTTGGTGGTCCCAATCATCTTCACAATTCGCGCCAGCTGTCCAAACACTGGTACTAGTATGCCCGACAAGAAAATTGGTGTACAATTTTTAAAGCCAGTAACACTGCAAGTAGTGATTTAGTAATGATGTTACACCGTACTTCCGCATAGATAATAACTTAAGGCCCAGATACGTGTTTTTAAAGCACACAGCAATAACATCTTTTTTCGTGTCTCTTTAGTTGACAGACATGGCTGACCAGTTGGAAGCGGAGGAACAGACCCGCCAGAAGCTGCAGCTCGAGAAGGGCGCACTGGAGCAGCAAGTGAAGACGATATCCGAGGAGCATGCCGTGGTTGAAGACAGACTAAGTAAAGTGGAGAAGGAGAAGAAGTCTGTTGATGCTCGCCTTGCTGAAGTGCTGAACCAGCTGACCGAAGAGGAGGAACGCTCGAAGCAGCTGGGCAAGCTGAAGTCAAAGCACGAGTCCTCCATCACTGAACTGGAGGAGCGCCTGTCTCGAGAGCAGGCCGCTAAACAGGATCTGGAGCGGGCAAAACGTCGTCTCGAGGCTGAACTGTCTGAGCGCTCGGATCAGGCGGGCGACAGCAAGCGCCTCCTAGAGGAGCTGAGGCAACAGTTGAGCCAGCTAGAATCGGAACTGGCGCAAACGCAACAACGCCTAGACGAGGAGACGCATGCCAAAACAGTTGCCCTCAAAAGTGTGAGTCATTCTTAAAGGCTTGCCGCTGGCTTTTCTTCCTTACCTCGGTTTTTTTTTCAGTGGCATCGGGTGGGTAGCAAGCAGCTTACCTTCCTTGCAAATTAACGTTCAATTCGAGCTACACTTTCTTTTGCTTCTCGTGATATGAAGTACTTACCAGGGACCTAGGCAGCACACCCTCCCCTTCATTTATCTCCTCAATTATATTCAGTCGATGTGAACTTCCCATCAGGGTTTTTATTATCTTCGACTCTTTGATAACTAGGATTAGTACGAGGGACTTATCGAAGTCGCCGCCGAAAATTGTTTTGACCCCTGTCAAGATAGCCACACAAGGCTGCTCTGCCCCATTTGTCAGGACCTCATTACGTGCATCTACGTTCTCTGTTGGACACAACGCAGACAGCCACCATTCTCGTCAAAGAATGGTGACCTGCATTTCAATTGAATAGTTGTGTGGGCGACTTACGCACCACCGACCTCACGGGTTCCTTCAACCAAAAAGGTTGAGAGCACTAGAGCTAGACGCCTCAGAGGTAGAGCGTTCGCCTCTGGCCCGAGAGACGCGGGTTCGAAACTCG